AAACAAAAACCTTTCTAAGCCTCAGTGTAGTACAAATGAAAGATAGTAAGGTACCACAGAAGGGTATGGTGTTGATGAAGATGCTGCCTATAAATGGTACCTTAGGAATAATGGGAGTGACATTCACATTATTTTCTGATTGTTTAACTTAGGCTTGGCCATGTGTTTAAAAAAATTTTTTTTAGCCAGTACACAAACTTTCTTAGCAGCTTTATTCATAGTAGCCAAAAAGTGAGAACCATCGGATATCCTCCTTAGGCTGTGTGTTCCATCCACAGCAAGGAGCACCATCCAGCATTGAGAAGAACAGCCTGTGGCTGTACGCAGTACTGGTGACTTTCCAGGAAATTACTTGGAGTAGAAAAAGAAGCCAGTCCCAAAAGGTTGCAAACCGTGCTCCACTTATCTAACAGTCCTAAAACGACAGGTTAGAGATGGAGAACAGAGGAGTGGCTGCAGGAGTCAGGATGGGCTGTAGGGATGTAGGTAAGCAGATCTTACAAGGTCTACCTGCTGTCCTGCACATATTCCCTGAGGGTGGGCCAGGGCATCCAGGATTTCTGTTACTTCTTACTGGCTTGTCGATCTACAAGCATGTGGCCTCACAGCCCTGCCACAAGAATGCCTGAGTCCTTGGCTCCCTGCTCTCCTAAGTGTTTGTAGGATTAATCCTGTTTCTAATACTTTTCCTTCACTTTACTTACATCTCATCCACAATTCCAAGTTACACATTTTTATTAATCAGCTGGAAATTCTTCATTTTTTTGGCTTGCTGCTTCCATGGTTTTTTCTTGATTTGCCTGTCATTCATTTATGTGCACTCATCCTTTGTATTTCTTATAGTGTTGCCATTTGTCCCTTTTATCTCTGAGTCAGTCCTAAGATTGCCAGACTCCGCAACACTGCCTGTTTCTGTCCTAGATCCACAGCACAAGCACAAAAAGACAAAAATTAATGATGGTCAGTTGGTCCTAGTGGCAGTGTACACATAGGAGTAGATTCAGCAACTGCTCTTGGTTTTGCCAAAGTGATTTGACCAAGTTATTTTCCAGCAAGTGGATCTCTGGGACTCCTCTGCTGGGCTTTGCATTACATTATAGAGTTCAGAAATATGGGCCAGATTGCCCAAAACTCACTACTCTGTATATTCTGGGGCATAATGTTGATGTATTTTCCTTTAAAAGGTAGTCCCTGGACGACTGGACTACTACCCTTATTCCTAATTTTTTTTTTTTAGATGGAGTTTCATTGCCCAGGCTGGAGTGCAATGGCATAATCTTGGCTCATTGCAACCTCCACCTCCTGGGTTCAAGTGATTATCCTGCCTCAGCCTCCCAAGTAGCTGAGATTATAGGTGCATGCCACCATGCCTGGCTAAATTTGTATTTTTAGTAGAGATGGGGTTTCACCATGTTGGTCAGGCTGATCCCAAACTCCTGACCTCAGGTGATCTACCTGCCTGAGCTTCAAAAAGTGCTGGGATTACAGGCGTGAGCCATTAGGCCTGGTTCCTTATTCCTAATTCTCATACCTCATTGTAGAGCTGTTCGTTGACAGCCCTGAAATAAAGTGCTCCTCTCTTACATTCTTGGGTGAAGGAACTGCCACTGGAGATAGGCAGGGTATGGTTTTAAGCCTTGTTTTTGTTAAGATAGACCTCTTTCTTTGTAGTGACAGAGAGTCTGTACTGAATTATCTTCATACTGCTTTGTGTATTTTAATTTAGTCCCATCTCCAAATTTTTCAGGATTAAGCCTTCTTATTTCTAGCTGTCTCATTACTGTCTTCTAGCCTATCTATATTCAGTTCCATACAGTTGTCCTTACATAGATAGTAAAGTCCCTAGATTTAAAGAAAAACTGCATTGATTCCCCTTTCTTATTCTGTAGAGCATATAATTTGTCCTACATAAAAAAATTTCAAACCAGGCATGATGGCTCATGCCTGTAATCCCAGCACTTTGGGAGGCCAAGATGGGTAGATCACTTGAAGTCAGGAGTTTGGGACCAGCCTGGGCAAAATGGTAAAACCCCATCTCTACCAAAAAATAGCTGGGCATGGTAGCACTCACCTGTGGACCCAGCTACTTGGGAGGCTGAGGTGGGAGGATCACTTATGACAGTA